GGCTGCCGCCGTGGCGATCAACAGCTATAAGGTGCAAGAATACAAGGACTACTCGCAACCGCTCCACGTGGACTGTAGCGTCGAGTATGAGCTCCCGAGCCAGGCGAAGCCACCGCCCGGTGGCGGCGAACCCCTCCTAATGATCCATCCGTGCTACTATCGACGCGCCGAGCGCGAGAGGAGGAGCCCTTTCGTCAATAATTTACCGCCCCCGGCAGCGCCGGCGACGACGCCTATGACCGCCTCCCGCAGGAACGGTCGCAGGAGCGCGGCGACGGCCGCCGCCGTCACAGTCGCCACCGCGGCGGTCGCGGTTGCGGCGACTTCCTCCACGACTACGACGGTCGTTCCACCGTCGAATAACATCGTCGTTTCCTCCAACGTTGTATCCGCTTCCGTTGTGTCACCGGCGACGTCTATCGCATCGTCCTCGGTCGCCGCGGCAGTGGTAGCTGCCGCGGATTCCGGTAGCGGTCTCATATCCACCAGCGGTCAGATGTCCGCTGTCACCATGGCTGCAGCCTCGTATCGCGCGGCACTCAATGTCGCTGCCACGTTGTCTCAGCAGCAGCAACAGCAACAACCATCTCAGCGACGGCATCATCCTCAGCAGCAACAGCCACAGCAACAGCAGCAGCAGCAGCAACCACCAACTCATCCTCATCATCATCACCATCATCATAGAAATCATACTCATGCTCCTCATCAGCACCAACAGCAGCAGCAGCAGCAGCAGCAGCAACAGCAGCAGCAACATCATCCCCAGCAACAACCTCAACAACGACCCGTAACACCAACAGCATCCGGTCCCGCCGACCTCATCTCCGCCGACGAGAAGGCAGTCATATCAGGTATTTATCAACATTACTTCCGCGCCATGCGCGCCCACAATCATCAACACCGCCAGCAGCAGCAGCAGCAGCAGCAACAGCAGCAGCAGCAGCAGCAACAACATCGTATCACTACCACTCATCAGCTCCATCATCAACCTCACCAAAGCGATCGAAGTTCCTCCTCTTCGTCGTCGGTTACGTCTCCGACGTCCGCGTCAATCTCCGGTATTCTACGACAGACTTATCAGCAGGCATACAGCAATATAGCGGCCACGAGCTCGAGCTCGGGCAGCCATCACCGTGCCAGCACATCGGCGGTCTCGGCAATCGCCCATCATCCCTACAGGCGACCGTCGGTGACGTTGCTGTCGCGAACGGCCTCGCATATCGGCCAGCAGGCTTCCTCTTCCTCCTCCTCATCCATTTTCGGTGCTTCCAATGGCGTTTCTGCCGCGGCTGGCGTCTCCAGCGTATACGCGAGCACAATACACAGGCATCACGCAACTTCCCTGCACGCTCTTCAAGCCGCCGCTGGCTTCTACGAAACGCCGAGTTATCACGCCCTCCTGCCTCAAAGTTAGACGACAGTCAGATGTCCGGGCGGTTTCGCGATGTTGGATGTCTACGCATGAACAACTACGGCAATGGCAACGGCAATGCGGTTGAGCTATTGCAAATCGAAGCGAACATGCGTCGAATTTCGATCTCGGAGACTACTCGCGAATCGTCCTTCTTCCTTCTTTATCGGGCAATCGATAAAAATCGAAAGAACTCGATGAGAGAGGATGTTAAGTCGAGACATGACCTCCGAGAGCTGTCAGTTAGGAATTAAAAAGATGCTAGGAATTTCTTTTTAAAGGCTTTTTCTTGATATCTCAATACGCGCGTTTTGCTGATAAAGCATAATTCATAACAGCATCGCGAACAATAAGAAGTTGTTCAGCAATCGTCCAGCGATCAAATTCAATACAAAATCCTCCAATACCTCGTTGTCGATTGTCGTTTACGCCGAGTATTCCCGACGTGTAGATTATGTACAGACTATCATTTTACGCAGTAATTTACGTAAACGATGCATAGGTCGGCATAGGCGACACTTATGGCTGTGCTCTGTCCTCCTTTCCTCTTCTCTTCTTTCCCATTATATTTGAGAAAACTCGTGCTTTATAACGCGATAATTTATAGCTGTCTTGTAGTTCCGACCATTTTATGGTTTACTATTTTCTCGTATTCTCGCAATAGAGCATTCAATTGATAATCGTAATCAACGAACGTTATTGCTTTGACTTTTGTTTGCGGAAATGTGTAATTTACATAGTTCTCGCAGAAATAGATGCGAAAAGAGAGAGGATTCGCGTCACAAGGCAGAGAAAGCGCATGGTATCTTTACGCGATTGCATATGCGAACAGTTTGCGTTACAGAACAGCGAAAAGAGAAGATCAGACCTTTCTAACTGAGAATAAGATGCGATGTAATAGTCCCCTCCCCGATTAAATTCGAAGAAACGCTAAAGACTTGGGTATACAAAGAGTCCTTTCGCGCATGGTTGATAATCTCAAGTAATTTTCCTCGGTCTCCCTTTTTCGACCCGAACGATCCTAACGCAGACTTTAATGTAGATAAACAGATATCGTCGATATATATATATATATATATATTTAGTGATCGTTTTTGTAAGCAGCTTTTTCTTTTGATATCCGTCTGCTGAAAACGTTAACATCAGGCGGCAGTTGAAACACTCTGCATGTAGACACGTCATAGACACCCCACGCTACTTTCTAACCGTCCGCTCTTCCTCGGATTGGCGAGAACGAAAATTCGCAGGCGCATTCGCGACAACGACAACGACCTAAATGGCGGACGCCTCCTTCGTGTGGCTATATCGGATTATGATCCGGGCGGTGCTGTTCGCCTCGATGTGGAGCCACCTTAATCCGCAGAGAGAAGGATAGAGAGAGAGAGAGAGAGAGAGAGAGAGAGAGAGAGAGAGAGCCCGCTCTCTCGCTCTGTTCCGCGCGACTTATCATCTCGATCGTTAAAAGTGCATGCGGGTGGGTCTATAGCGCGCATAGTCGGCATAGGGTACATCTGTCTCTCCGCGCGCATACACGGGGTGTCTCTAAAGCACGATGAAAAGCTACTGTATCACCACTATCCGATATTAAAACTTACATTTGCTGATATCGGTTAACGCGAGTTTGAATCATCGTCTCCCGTCTTTTTGCATATTATATTTTATGACTCTTATCTGGAAAGAAAATGATCTTTAATGTAGAGGGTGCCTTCGTTTTTCCTGGTGTAAAGAATCTGCACGATATCGTTAGCGTTCTTCTTAAACGAAGAAGCATTTAGTTAATTTAAACATTTAAGCGGTATTTAAAAAATCATTAATATGGTACCGAGGGAAGGAAATTAGGGTTTTCCTCTTGAAAAGAATTTTCATCGTACGGTATTTTTTCTCGAGCGGTTAATTTTAAGCATAGATCAATCGAGTTTCGAGTTTAACATCTCGTTAAATTGGAATCTTTCAAACTTCTGGCGTACCTCAACTTGAGATTAAATTAAAATGTGCTTCGTAATGTGTAATATTTGCCAAAAAGTCCAACTTCAACAAAGTCATCCCTAAACTTCATCGCTCAAAAGGAAGAGAAGGAGAGAGAGAAGAAAAGAAGGGACTAGCTTGAAAATGTTTTTCTTCATCGCGTCGCCGCTCTTCTCTTCCACTCTGCTCTTTACAGACGTACTTTATACATACGCGATCGCACGATTCGAGTCCCGAATTGTGCGAGACACCCTGTAGAACCGCCGTCGCCGACACAACGATCGTACGTGCCGTGTTCGTTGTTGACGGTGAGCGGGTGGCCGGACGGACGGGCACCGAATAAACACACGTCGTGTGCACACATGTGCATGTATGCACGCACTCACGTATACACACGCACGTACGCACGCATACAGACGTACACGCCACATGTACCACAGCGTACATATCACACACACGCGGCAGCCTGACGGATGGGATGGACTGGTAGGAGGATAGAGGGACAGTTGAAATGGTCGTCGCTCGTACACACTACACACACGTCAGGCATACGTTTCATCCACCTGCAATGAGTGCGACTTCAGGTAGAAAAAAGAAATGCCCGTTTGCTTAGGGCCGCATTAGCATCCACTACGTTCTGCGTTCTGCCCGGCACAGCATTTTCGGGGCCCCGCCGCGCCGCGCGCCGTTTCGAACCACGCCGGTCCCTCTCGAGAACTCGTGAGATGTCCTCCTCCTCCTCCTCCTTCTCTTCCTCCTTTCCGACCTCCTCACTCGCTCCTCCATTATTCAGTATCCTTTGGAAGGATAGAGGACGTGGCCAGTATTCTTGAAGGATGGACAGACGCGCTCGGTTTCGGGGCTCTCCGATTTCATGGTTCTCCACAACGCTGTGGATTCGCGGTTCTGTCGAATTCAAAGAGTTCACGAATTTCTAGTCCTCGGTGCCACTGGAGAGCTCTTCATGTATATACGGATAAATTTATTCTACTCTCGAGACAGACGCGCAGAGGGGAAGAAATTACGAAACTCTCCTCTTATCTTCAAAAAGGAGCGAGATACGTTAGATCTTCGATCCCACGGATCCTCGGTTACTCTCGTACTCTCGCAAAGCCGCACAACTTTGTGTCCGTAGTTCCACGAAGCCACAAATTTTCTTAAGTTCGCATACGGAGTGTCTGGGAGGAGAATCGGATGTCGACGTTCGACCGCAGGTACTAGAAGACCAGCTGAAAGTATAGGAGATCGAAGAATGAACTTTTTTGCACCTGTCTCTTAAGTCTCTTTAGCCCGTGAGAGAAATCTTCTCGTAAATGACAATGACTTTTTATTTTCATTTCATCCAAATTCTATACAAAGAATATTTTGTTGTGCGCGTAAGCACATGGAATTCAAATCTGTTTTAATGCATAAAATTACTTACAACATCGCTTTATATTACAATGAAAAAAATATTAAATAATAAACACATACATTCAATATTTTAATAAATATTTGTTTGAATATTTCTAAATAAATATTTACTAAATGTGAACCTATATTTATTTGATACAAAATCATTAATTTGATTTAACTGTCACTTTTTTTATTAAGTAAATATTGATTCACTGTAAGTAAATGTTTACTTAGTACTGTTTAAAGAAATATGTGTTAAAATTTAATAAACTTTTTTCAGTGTATATTCGTTAAAAAACACGAGATTTTCTGGGATTTAGTATATCAAATTCAGATATTTTTCGTCGAAGATTGTGGATACTGTCACATAGAGAAATAGCTCATATAGACCCGAAATTCAGAGGAAATGATAAAGAAATAAGATCCCATAATGAACTCGTTATAATAAATAAAGTATTTCTGTCTGATTTCGTAACTCAACTTTGGAACCGCACATCCCGATACATTTACCTTTGCTGACAATGAGATTTATTAGCTATGATTCATCATTGGGATAATGACTTTTCGCAGTTCGGCCCATCTGTGATGGATTTCAAGACCAGGTATAAAATCAGCTAGGTCGTTTATTTAGATTCCGCGGCACTTTTCTTACTCTCGTCCGAGATCTCTTTCGAATTCCTCGCCTCCATTATTCAGCGTTTCCAATCGAAACGGCCGCGATGCGACCAGACACGACGCTGTGTGAAAATCGATGCCGCGATGACGCGATCGACGCCGAGTGATAAGCATCGTTGTACGTTTTGTCAACGACATTCGCCGCGTGATAACAACCAGTCGTTTCCGGCCGACTGGAAGCTCGCCTCCCTACAGAAACCGCCCTTTTCTCGTCTTCCGCGAAACTTCTCAATTTCGTGCGATGATTTATCATTGTTAAGAATATATATTTCCATTCTGAACACTAAACATGTAACGGATGGTACGTATACGTCGTAAGTTTATCAGTAGAATACATTTAGAGAATCATAAATTTATATGTAAGTTATAAAGTTATAAAGCAGTTCATCGCAGAGCGAGATACAAATAGACGAGCATTTCGCAGCCCCTTGTTGGCGGCGTACTAGGGTTAATTATCTGAGTTCTGGAATTATCCCTCTTCTCCCGCGGGAAAGATATAATCCGAGGTTTAACCCTCGACAGGACCGAGTCCTGATGTGTAACATGGCGGGCTGGTGAGGGTGAGGGTCATTTATCGTAGGAAATTCGGGAATATCGGGAGTTAGTTCCGAAAACGTCAGTTTTACCTCGGATTAGTCGGGCGATTTTCCGTGAAAATTAAAGTCTGGACTTCTGTGATTCTCTCGTCGTATGGAGAACTCGTCAGCATCGATCATTACGCGTAAAATCGATAATTAATGCTCAATTCGTTCAGATTTCGAATCAAGTGGGGAAAAGGAAAAAACTGTACGATTATATACGATTCTTCTCTCTCTCTCTCTCTCTCTCTCTCTCTCTCTCTCTCTTTTTCCGTAGAAGAGCGTCCATGAGTTCGCCTTAATTCACGAGGGAGGACAAAATTGTCACGGCACAATTAATGATGAGGAGCGACGGCGATGCAAAAAGCGGTGTTTGTCCGAGATCGAGAT